GATAGATAGTATATATATATATAGATAGATAGATAGATAGATAGATAGATAGATAGATATATAGTAGATAGATAGATAGATAGATAGATAGATAGATAGATAGATAGATAGATAGATAGATAGATAGATAGATAGATAGATAGATAGATAGATAGATAGATAGATAGATAGATAGATGCTTACTGACCACAATTTGGTATAACATATACATTCACACATACATTGATACAGTAGCGGATGCAATGGATGTATTGGTGAATGAAGCTCGCGTATGTGCTGTGATGGTCATGCATTGAATGTCGGATGCAAGAGTGTTGGCAAAAAATCTTCGAGCTTTCAGCTAGCGCTGTGCGACAGCCCGCACTATCACGAGTACACGGTCTGTATCTCGACATTTCACGCCACCGTTTGCAATCAATTCCCACCGCGCGAACCCCAAGTATAATCGCCGCGAGTCACCTCTGCTTTTTCCACCCTGTTGCAGATACGACAAGATTGGAAATACGTTGCCATGGTTATGGATAGGTTTTTCCTCTGGATCTTCAGTCTGACGTGCGTGATAGGCACGTACGCTCTAATCAGCTCGCCACCTACGCTACACAACACGATGAGAGCTATCGGAACCACAGACAACGGCGGAATATCGTAGCCGCTCTGTATAGAGCCGTGCGCCAATGACAGAGCGCGCATTCTTCCACGTGGTTATATAACTGTAGAAAGAGTGAGAGAGAGAGAGAGAGAGAGAGAGCGTGAAGGAGAGAGGATTTATATGTGCCTGTGGCGCGCCTGGACGTGACAGGATGCGATCAATTCGAGACAACGCCACTATACGTGTGATGCTGCAACGGTGATAACATCACCGGTGACAATGGGACAATTACTACAGGTGTGATGGTACTCATACGTATTGTCACAAATCTTGGGTGGCATGGTAACCATAAATGTTGTCACCTTACCGATGTCACCCACTGATAGTGAGTCACTTATGTCTAGTGCCAATTTTGCTCAGGCCCCAGCTAAAATCGATGATGTGCTGTTACCATTATTCGACACATCTGACGTTTAATGGCAGATCGTGCGAGCGTTCCTGCCAACGAGACGATAGTAAAGAGCCTTGCCCTTACTTGGCACAAAGTATCTATCGATTAAAGTATTGCTCCATTCCGTCTCTATTATCTCGCTCTTTTTCGCACACACTACTCCTCCCCTGTCATCTTTTAGAGTCAAACAAGCACGCAGGCACGCACACACGCACGCACGCACGCACGCACGCACACGCACACGCACACACACGCGCGCGCACACACACACACGCACACACACCCCACCCACACACACACACACA